ACTTCTCCCACCAGTCAGAAGATACAAATCCCTCTTTCTCTACGCTTCACAAGTCATGATTTTTCTTGAGAAACAAAACATCTTCATAAAACAATAAAAAAATTTTGTATGAAATTGCTGAAGACAGTTTGGTAATATGGACCTGTGGATTTAGGAGTGTCAGTTATCTACTGTGGTCTTGAAGGGCTGTTTTATTTTTGTTTGTTTTTATTTAAAGTGGGAGCACTCCTGTGTAGACTGCGTGCGTCTAATATTTTGCTGCGAGGGCTGTTCTCAGTATGGACGGCTGCCACGTCCGTCTTGTGTGTGTGTTGGCTGTCATCCCTTGGATTAGCGGTGTGATTGGTGCTGTGGTGATCGGAGCCTGTCTTGATTCTTGGTGAGCGGGGCCTCCTTTTTCGTTCTGCGGTTGTCACAGCCTTGACAGGGGCTGGGTCTGCTCCCCTGTTGCTGGAAGAGAGGCTTCTAGACCCGTTTCTGAGCTGTGGTGTGATAGGCAGGGTTGGAGCACTTCAGCTGAGAAGAGTCACTGAGTATACTTCTGTAGATGTCCCCTGGGGCGTGCCCTCTGTGGTGTTGTTGGTCACTTGTTATGCGGGCTTACAAAGTACTCTTTGTTGACGCTGCCTTTGTCCCTGCCTTAGCTGCAGGAATGTCAGGCATCCACTCTGGTGTCCCCCAGGTTCTGCTACTTTCTCCTCAAGCCTCAGAAGCTCCGCTTCTGTCCCTGCTGACCTTCTGGCTGGCGGGGGATGTCCCAGCGTAAGGGTGTCTTTTTGCCGCTCCCTCCCAATGGGACTGGTCACTCATTAATTTTCTGTTTTCCTTTTACCGAATTTTGTGAGACTCCTGTATTTTGAAGCGAGAGACACTCTGCCAGAGTTCAGTAGGTGTTCTGTGCGATTCAGTGGGTTTGTACATGTAATTCTTGGTGTGTTTGTGGGAGAGGTGAGCTGTGAGTCTCTCTATGCTGCCACCTTGGTGCCTCCCCTCTACAGCGTTACTTTTTAAACGAAGTTTTTCATTAGACCTGCTTCTTGTTCTGATTATCCCTTCACTTTCCAGAAAGCCAATTTGACATATCCTTTGACTTCTCATGGCCCTGCCTGCTAATGGTCTCTTCCTTCAGTATCCTGAGCCTCTGCCTTTCCAGTCCTTTCATATTAGTGTAATTGCTCAGAGAGTTGCTCAGCCATAATAACCTCAAGTAAAATTACATGGCTCACTATTTGCTATAGCCAGTGCCCTCTGTGTCCTACGTGCTTCTCATTAGCTCTAGTTATTATACAACTCACCAATATCCTGTTAACAATATCATGATACAACCACCCACAGTATATTAACGCCATCTATTATGTACCTACAGTGGTCCTCCTAACTGAATCCATTTTGCTATACATCCTACTTATATGCATTTAGCTCTGTCTGTCAGATAATCTGTCCTATTAATGATGTCCCCTGATCTTTTGCAACTGTTGTCTGACTCACTAGCATCCTCTTCATAATATCGTCGATGCTGCTTAGCTGTCATCCGTTAAAACTGTTCACCTGTTTGCATCTTGTTAGGTCCAGGTTTCAAAAGCCTACCACCAGGAGGATACATACATCATTGACTTTGGAGACCTAACTATGGATGTGCAGAGTGTGCAGGGGGCTTCAGCCTAAAGTACCCTCTTAAGAAAGATCTTTTCCTTTGACCAATACAACACAGCCCACCAGGCTTTATGAGCCACATTAATGGAGTGTGTGTGCGTGCGTGTGCACAGGTGTGTGTGTATGCATGCATGGGGTTGAGGATGTGGGGAAATGGGAGTTTACTGGACACTTAGGACTGGAAAGCTTGGTGAGAAGGGACAGCATGGAAGGAGAAGACTTCATGGGGAAAGGCCAGGGGGAGAGAGGACCGCAGGATGAGGTCAGTGCTCATTTGGCAGGACAGAACCCTTTTGACACCATCTTTTTTGTTAATGGCTGACCAGTCTGGATGACTGTGCATCACAGCAACCGTTGAAATGTTGCCAGAATGACAGACCATCCCAATTTCTTTTCAATTTTATAATCCTGTGCTTAACTGAGCCCTGATGGAGAGGGTGCACTGCCCCAAGCATCCCCTCACACTGGGGCCACGTCAGCACTTGGAGCTGCCACAGTTGAAGACCTTGTATCTACAGGCAACCACAGAGGAAGATGTCCAGGGCAGGGCCAGGCACCCAGCAAGTGCTCACAGTTGAAGGCAGTGGAAGGGTGACTTGTGGCATCTGTCTTTTCCTTGTCATCATATATCTTACTCTTGAGGTCAGGAAAGAAGGGGTCCTTAGCAGCCACTTGAGGTTGCCATCTGTAGAAACAGCTTGTGTGTTAAAAAGACCAATGAGCTATGTGTGCATGAGAGAATTCTCAGGTAATCCTTTGCATTGAACACTTCTTAAAAGCGCCACAAAATCTGTGATCTTAATTTTTTTTTCACATGCTTTTGTTTATTTTTGATCTTCCATTGTGTATATGGAGAAACTGAGGCCCTCCTAGGGTCTCCTAGAAGAGCCAGGATCACTGCTGTCTAGGTGCCTCCCTGCATGGCATGCAGCCAGGCAGGGACAATTGCCAGGACCCAGCTGTGGTCCAGGCTGAACATGTACGTGCCTCCCTCTGGGCAGCGTTGGGGTTGCTGGTCCTTGCAGTTCTGCGTGCTGGGCAGAAGCCTTCACAGGGCTGTCCCACCCACAGGGTCAAGCCCGGCTCTGTGACGCCCCAGGCCCGGATTTCTGTAAATGAAACACCCCCATTTTCCCACCCCCGCAGCCAGTCTGTGTTTACCAAACATCTGCTAATGCCTCACCCTCAACACAGCTGACATCTGGGTCTGCTTCCTGTACCTAAAACCCCGTCCTCTCTTGCTGCTCCCTGAGCTGACCAAGGAACAGGTGTTGACAGGTCCCCTGGCATCTAGGTCTGAGCCACAGAGATGAGGGTCTCTAGGCAGGATGGGTCCATCTTGAAGCTTGAAAAAGTACCCGGCTGTACTGGGCTGAATAGTGCCCCTCCCCAATTCATGTGTACCTGGAACTTCAGAACTGACTTGGTTTGGAAATAGGGTTTTTGCAGGTGGAATTAGTTAAGGAACTTGAGAAAAAGTTCTTCTGGCCTCCAAAATGTGAGAGAATACATTTCTGTTCTTTGAAGCCACTAAGTCTGTGGTAATTTGCTCCAGCAGCCATAGGAAGCTCCTGTGCTGGCTGCCTGGCAGGTGGGAGGTGGGGCTGCAGGGTCCTCTGCTCCCCTCACTTCTCTTGCCTTCAGGGCCTGGAACAGTTCTGCGCCAAGCCAGTCCAAGGAGCAAGTTGAAAACAAGAGTTAAGAGGAAGACCAGGGCTTGCTTTCCCCGTTGTCACTCTCATGTTGGTGCAGAGAGACTTCTGTACCCTCTTCACACCATCACTACCGCTTTTGTTTAGTGCCCCACCACAGGCCAGGCACCGTGCAGGTTGTTACATCGTTTCACACAATCCGTATGTCTTAGCTTGGGCCACCGTAACAAAATACCACAGACATTTCTCTCTCACAGTTCTGGAGGCTGGGAATTGTAAGATCAAAGTTCCAGCGGATTTTGTTCCTGGTGAGGATCCTTTTCCTGACTCACAGATGGCAGCCTTCTCACTGTGTCCTCATAGAGCAGACAGAGAGAGAGGAAGATAGCTGCCTGGTGTCTCTGCTTGTAAGGGCACTAATCCCATCCTGAGAGCCCCACCCTCATGACCTCATCTCAGCCTGTTTACCTTCCAAAGGCCCCAGCTCCAAGTACCATCACACTGCAGGTTAGGGCTTCAACGTATGAATGGAGGAGTGGGTACCCAGTTCAGTCCATGGCACCTTATAAGGACACTGTTAAATAAGTTGCTCTGTCCCTCCTGTTTTACATTTGAGATTCATTATGTTGCTCAAGGTCACACAGCTGGCAAATGGCAGAGCCAGGATTTGAACCTGTGTCTAACTCCATTTCAAGGACTGCATACTTAACCACTATGCTATTATGCTGATCGAACCCAAGTCATAATAATAATGGCAGCTTATGGTCGACATAGAAAAGAGCCTGCTAGAGTTATGCCAACCCACAGTGGCTCCCAACTGCCTCCTCCCTACTTCTGTCCCTACCCTGCCCGCCCCTCCCTGTGCAGGAGTCACATCACATGATCCCTGTTTCTTGGATGACCTGTGATGTTCACATGTCAGGTGGTCTCTCTGGTAGCTTGTCCCTGTCCCTTTCCATGTGGCAAGGGACACCCCACACAGCCCAGTCTAAGTGTGCTCTGTACACATCATTACCGAGCACATGTTACATGGCTCGTAAATCCCACAGGAGTGTTTGTCTTTTCCAAGCTGGTGTTGGGAGCACCTTTGACACAGGACTAAGCCTTTCTTTTTTGGCATCTGGTACCTTCCACAGCACCTCTGGGTCTCCAGGCCCCTAGTAAGCATTTGAATAAGTGAAACACATAGAAAGCAGAAAGGGTTGTTAATTTTTTAAAAAAGAAGAAAGAAAAGAACATCAGATATTCTAAGACAAGTGCTTGTTGAAGGCACCACTAAAAGCCTTGACTTTCGAATGCAAATGTTTAATTTAGGCTCGTTCTTCTGCGTGCTTACAGATGGCACTTAATTCGAAACAACGGTCCGTGTGTATTTTGAGATTTACGGTGGGTCTCGTGCACTTTTTGTCTTTTTGATGATTAACTGCTTTAGTTTCTAAATATGTGTTCTTTGAAAGCTTGTCCTATTTCTAAACATAATTTGCATGTGCGATAGTGCACCCCTCGATTTTATGCTGACCCCAGTGGGGACGTAGGGGTCAACTTGCTGGCCTTCCAGTTAGAGCAGACTTTCTAGGAGGCATGTGTCTTAATGCATTAACCAAGGCCCATGCTGTTTCTGCAAAGTTTGCACTCGTGGGCGGTCCTGCCCCATGCATTTCTAACTGCTCTTCCATCTCTGACCTCCCCCTGCAGGTTGGCCGTGGGTGACCCTCTCTGTCCTGGGATTCCTGTACTGCTACTCCCACGTGGGCATTGCCTGGGCCCAGACATACTCATAAACTAATGCCGCCGGCCCCAGGCCGGCCCCTGTTGCTGGCTTCCAGGGCAGATGGTGCTTCACTCTGACCTCGCACACCAAGGTAACCTCCAGGGGACCAGTGCTTGATCTGCTCATCTTTTCTTGAAGTCACCTCTTTCCAAGACTGGATGCTTGAGCTCACGTAACTTTGGGAACTTAGAGATTGTCTTCCCCAGCTCCATCATTTTCTTGTTGAGGAAGCTGGGGTCCAGAGCTGTAAAGTGTCTTGCTTAGCTACACTTGGTGACACTGTGATCCAGGACCCAGTTCCAAGGGGCCCGTCTTTGTCCTTTACCAAGAATTAAATGGAAGACATTTCTTGACTGAGGCAGAGAAATCCTGATTAGTGATGGACTTGTCCTCCACTGGGCAGTATTTCTGAAACACGTTGGTGGTGTTGAAGTGACCCCGCCCCCCGTTCTCCCCGGTCCTGCAGTCACGTCTCTAGAACCAGCACTGGGGTTTAGCCTCACACTTTAGCTCCTCAGCAGGTATGTAACAGAGCCACAGCTGTGTGTCTAATTCCCCGGGCAGAGAGGACAGTACGTGTTCTGTGGCATCGCAAGGAGTCCGTACCCAAGGAGAGCTGTTCTTTGAGCTTCACCAGGGTGATCTACACTTGGCTGCTTGCTTCCTAGATTTTCAGAGAAATATAAACATGGCAGTTCCCTACTTGACAGCTAATTGTTCAAGATATTTAAAAAAAAAAAGCAGAATTAAAAAAAAACCCAGGGAATAAGGTATCCATAGACAGGCGCTATCAGGCAAGTCACAGAGGGTAAGGATGGCTTCCTGTGGCCTCTCCGTGCTTTACACACGTCCCAACAGCCGTCTTCCCACCGACTGGCTTATACTCAGTGGTTTATGTTTTGTTGTGTTTTGTTTCAAATACAGTGGAGCCTTTTCCATCACAAAGATAACCCACATTTTTGTAGAATTGCTTTGAATATTTTAAGGCAAATGTTTACAATCTAAACACACTGACATAATTCTGAATTATTCACTGGAAAGATGCCGGCAGGCCACTAATGCCTCAAGTGGTAGATAATTCAGAATACTTCTATTTGGTTTTGGCTTTTTTGTTTGTTTGCTTTGAAGGGGCAGGGGATAAGTGAAGCAGCTTTAAAATTTGAATCCATAGTGTACCCGATTATGGGAGAACCGGAACATCTCAGGCCCAGGAATTAATTGTCACTGAGGGGAAGGTGCACTTGGACCTGCTCTGTGCCCCACTGTCTCACATTGCTCATTTGGTGTTGTCCTTGTGTCCTGGCTGTGGTTATTAGCTCAGTGAGGTCTAAACTCCTAGAGTGCAGGACCATTTTGCTGGTGTCCTTTCTTCCTAGCCACTCTGCTTGGAAGAAGTGGGGAGGGGACCAGAGGTGGATGACAAGGAGTGGGCACACACCATGTTAGCTGCAGAAGACAGAGGCTGGAGGGAGACAGGCAGGACCAGGGCAGCAGGCTTAGTAAAGGAGAAAGAGACACAGTCTGGTGAATCCAAGGTACAAGGAGGCAATAAGGTTGAGTTAGTGAGCAGGCAAATGAATACAGTACAACTTCATGGGCTTTTAACACTAATTCAAGATCTGTAGTCAGCCAGAGGGCATTTGGTTGAAGTTGACCTGCAAGGGAAGAGCTTGCTAAGGAAAAAAGGTAGTATGAAGATGATTGTAGGGATGTGTCCAATATATGTGCATATAGATATATAAAATGCAAAATACTTTCAACTCTTCAGACACCATTTATATAAAAACAAATAGGCTCATTCACTCATTAAACTGTACTGGAAGAGTCAGTGAATATACTTGAAAGCAATAATCCTGAATTTCTTTTAAGCTATTATATGATTAAGAGTGGTTCTTAGGAATTACTAAATGATTACTGTGTTTAGCTGTATGTATACTGAAGCCTGATTAACCAACAGGTGGATTACCCAGAACCACTGTTCTCTTAACTTGAACCTCTTGCTGTCCTCCAGCTGTAACGTGGAAATGATAGTATGTCTCTTTTCATGCCTGTGACCTCAGCTCTTGGAGTTGCTTGAAGTGAAAGACCCTTGAGGTGTCTGGGCAGACAGAGCAGTTCCAGCTGAGGAACATCTGACGTGTCACTTTCCATAGTTAGCAGCCCTGACCACAGGGCTGGGGAACAATTAGACAGATCCTAAGGTTGCTTCTAGCCCCAGGATCTTCTGACTCCCACCTGGCTCTGTGGGCACCTCGGACAGCTCCAAGCGAGATCGCCATGCTGATCCCCAAGGAGGCACATAAAACATCTGAAGGACAGACAGATGCTGGTCATTTTGACTAATTCTTGGAACCATGCAAGAAGACTGAGAGGTATTTCATTATTTCTTCAGATCAATTTGTTCGAAGTGACAGCAGAAAGCCTTTTGTTCTATCAGACTGCAGACCTAGGAAGAAAATATATCAATCATATAATAATTGTATAATGATCTATATATTGGGAGAATAGTAATTTAGTGGCAGTGGTTTTCTCCTTAGAGAAATTGAGGCTGCTCATTGCTTATTTAAAATAATAATCATTGACTTTAAGAAATTAACTGTACTATAATGAGTTTCTTCTCTATCAAATGTATTCCTACAATAGGGCCAACTCATGAGAAACCAGATTATCTTGACAGCACTGGCCTTTCTCAGTGCATGTTGCGATGGCTCTGTGAGGCCTTTCTTCAGGGAAACTGTTATTATACAACAAACCAACAAAATCCCTCTTTTTTATGGTTGAAACCCATTTGGCACCCAAAATGTAATATCTGTTCCTTGGCTCTGTATCACTGGTCCTTTTGACTAATTATAAAAATCATATTCACAAAGAAAGATTTTTTTTTCACTGTTGAGGATATCTAAAGAATGCAATATTTGGTGCTTAGGTGAGACTTTTTAAAATGAACATCAATCATTTAGAATTTTTAAAAATGACCCTTAAATTAGTTTTATTATGCTTTTCTGCACTGTAAATAATAGTGTATGAGAAAGTGATTAAAAGTACTGGATTTATATTGCGGCCATGTGAAATCAAGGAGGGGCCTGAATAAGGCTTGCAAATCACAGATTCCTCATCCCTGAATTACGTTCTGCTGTCTATAAAAAGAATGCCATTTTTGAAATGTCCATTGGTATTAAATAAGAACTATTGGTGGTATCATGGAGAATCTTGCCATGAGCAGGAAGCAATGCCCATTAGACCACAGCAGACTCTGAAACAGTGCTGGTGGATAGGACTAGTTTAGGGGCAAGCGGTCCTCCACCTTAATAGCTTCTGAGACCATCAATGAATTAAAGCACAGATCAGCACTCCTATTGTTACCACTGAGTCATTCTGAAAAGATTCAGTTAAATTTTTGTAGTATATTTTAAAGGCAGAAAAGCATTAATACACAAATTTCAATCCAAATTGTTCAAGGTTAAAAAGCTCAGCCCTAGGTGGGAGGTCACCTTCAGTTATGTGTTAAATCAAAATGCTGTACCACAATTTTCCAGTGATGCCAGGGTTTGAAGGCATCTCTGTACGTTTGTGTAGCAGATAACTATTTCAAGATCATACGGCAGGGCATCTTCACCCCCATTCTCTCACTGTGCAGTACTTTGACACACAATCTTGGTGTCTCTAGAATTTTAAGTTCTCAAAGACCCCACAATTACAGGTGCTGTCCAAATTAGAGCTCCCCAGGCTCCTGACAAGGAGAAAGTACCACCTACCTGGTTCTGTCATCTCAGGTCAGACCACCCAGTTCAATGCCTTGAACTTACATAAGGAAAGGCAACAGCACTCATGTATAAAATAGTTTATTACCATAATAAATAAACTTTTTTTTATTTTACAAATGTCATTTGTGCTTGTTTAAAAATGTTGAGAAGGGGGTAACAATGGAGGGCCCCATGTTTCTCTTAACATTCCCCAAGCTGCAGTCATACCGTGGAGTCCTGGCAGCATCCTCAGCTGACCACAAAAACAGTGTCAGCTCATTTGCACTTCTGTTGATGCATGCTCATTTGGACAAGGTGACAGATGCAAAGGAAGAAGAAAAACCCAATGAAGGATTTGTCCGGACGCAACGGGAAGAGTGTTAATATCAGGAGGGCCAAATGACGAACTGCTCGTGAGTAGAAGTGTCCTTGCGGTGGCGGAGAAATGTCAGGTCTGGGCAGTCTCCATCGGATGCACGAATACCGCGTCTGAATAGTAAGAGAATACATTCATGGGGGGCGGGGGGGGTTACATCTTTCTTAACATAAAAGCAGTTCGTATCCTGATACAAGATCTGTGAGCTTCTCATTGAACAACTAACCGATCTGTTGGCTGACTCAGAAGTCACAGATAAAGAGGCAATGGCTCTAGGGAAACTTTGAGGGCGGGCGGGTGGGCGGGGGGCACCTCCCAGGTCCGGCACCTGTCGGGTATTCAAGTCCAGTTCTAGAGGTTCCAGAGGGAGTCTGATATGCTCACATGAGAGTGAAGTTTCATTCGAAACTCATTTAAGCCGGAGACAAATTCACATTGATTCTTTTGAACCATAGGTGGCGGCAATTAAAACGTCTCAACATGAACACACTGGGTGAGAAAACGGTGCTTTCTCTGATGGCTGCAGTTGGTGCCCAGAGGACAGTGAAATCTCCGGTTGGAGGGCACAAGAGCTGGTGAAGGTAGTTTTTACTGAAGCGAGCAAGAAGGCAGTGCAATGATGGAGAGACAGAAGAGAGGCCATCCGGGCGCCGGAGTGTTCCCTCTGTGGGCCTCCTCTTTAAGCAACATTATGTAAGGAGGGAGGTGAGGGGAAAGAGTGTTGGCAGCTCCATCCCAGTTGGAGTTCCATTCAAGGGTCTTAAGGCTAAACATCTTTATTGCAAAAAAAACACTGTACAAATCTATTCATCAAATGCACAAATGCACATGGACTTGTATCACCACCAGGAGGGTACATGTGTCATAGGGTGGTCCGAGCAGCAAGGGGAGAGGAGGCTCTTCCTCCTCCACCTACCTGGCTTTCATTTTACTCCCCACACAGGCTTGGACAGTTGCAGAGCTGGTTTTGTACTTTCCACCTAAGGATTCGGGAGAAGGTGATTGCTGGATAGGGCGGTGTGATGGAATGTGTTTTTATTCTGAGCTGTGCTAACTCCACTTCTGAAAGAGGATTCCAGCAGACAGCACAGAGGATGCTCTAGAAGGTGGAAGGTAAAACAAGCCCGGGAATTAAATGACAAGAGATGGGAACAGCTTTGAAATGCTCGTTGTATGTAGCATCAGAGTTTTTGAAAAGCCCTGGGTTGCCTACTGCTAAGCTACAAACTCTTTGCACAGATTTCATCTGACGTCTAGAATATAAAGAATGGCCTTAGAGGGAGAATCAAGCCAGAGAGCGGGAGTGTGAGGGAAGGGGATGGATGAAGGTGGAGATATCAGAATTGTGCATGAGACCAGGGCTCCTCAACTAGACGGCTGCCTCGCTGTCCTTCCTCCAGGAATCTCGTCATACCTGGTGGAGGAGCTCTCCACCAAGAACCAGTGCACTGTCTTGTTGACCGTCTTATTTCATAGGCTCAAGCCCCGCTCCCACGCTGCCAACAGCAGGGGGAGGGCATGTTCAGCAAACAACCAAGTGGTAGGGGCAGGACCTCCTGCTCCCAACAGCTGTCAGGAGACTCTGGGAAATGGAGCCTCCCTATGCATAACGTGCAAAGTAAGGAGTTTATGGAAGAGATCAAGTACCCAGCAATGACTGGGCAATGGTCCCCCTTCCCTCAAAAAGGAAAAATAGCTCAGGTAAACCTAAATCTCATAGCAAAACTTTTTCTAAAGTCTAAGTCTAAAGGTTGGGTCCAATACGCAAATGCTTTTGGTTCCCCTGATCTCTCTTCAGCCACCAGGTAACTGTATAGGGGAAGGCTGAGTCAGTGGTATCTGAAGCTCGTGGTCCTTGCTTGGGAGGCCAGCGCAGCATCTGGGCAAGGGTAGGTAGGTAGGTAGCACAAAGCAGCCCGTGGCCAAGTGCATGTCATAAAAATGCAAGGGAAGAAGGTTTGGCTCATTAAAAAATGTTTTTTCTTTCCCCAGAGAAAAACCATTATAGCAAAAATTCCCCAAATCCTTGACTGGAGAAGAATAAAAGCACAGACAGCCACCCCGGTGGTGCTCCCACCGTCACCCCCAGGAGGGTGTGCTGCAGGCCCTGGGACCCCGAGAGGAGTCGATCAGGCTGCTCGTCACTAGCCCAGTTTGACTTCGAGGAGTCGATCCAGCAATACATTCACGAAGCGTGATTTTTTCCCCTCTAAACAGGTCTGGACTTCAAGGCCTCACACATCAGCATCTTTGCCCCTCAGCCTGACAGCCCTGTACTCCCCAGGCAGAGCTGGAGGGCAGGGCCTGCAGGGAGCTGCACAGGAGCCTGCCATCGAGTCCCGGAGAGCGGGGCAGCCGGATGCGGGAGGTATCAGGGCCCTCGCCCCACCTTAAAGCGGTGAGTTCTCAACTTTGGAAGCAGGCTGACGAGCAAGTTTAAGGAACGGCACACTAGAACAAACTAGAACGTTTCAGGGCCAGCTGGCAGATGGGATTCCAGCTATTTTACAGCCTCAGCCCCAAGGACTGGTTGGCAGCTTGTCAAGTGAAAGAGGCTGAAAGCCCCCTCGCTTAGCCAGAGTCATAAACGGTCAGGGCTCGGCCTTGGGAAATGTCACTTCCTCCTCTTTGCAGGCTGCCATCTAGGGCTGAGACCTTACTGGGCCCAATAAGGTCTCAGCCTCGGGAAGCCAGGGGCCACCCCATAAGCCTCCTGGGAGGAGCTGCAAAAGTGTGCGGGGCCTCTGGGAAAGAATCCTGCTCCCCAGGGCTGCCTGTGCCAACCCTGGGGACAGCCCCTCTCTGCACAGACAACTGAGGTCCAAGTCCCGGGTCATGCCATGGCCACTGAGTGGGACCGAAGGGGTGCTGGGGCTTTCAGAAACACTAGCTAGCTTTGGTAGGGCAGGTCCTGACCTGTCAGGCTCCCTTCCGTCCTGAGGATGGGATGACCGTGGTGCAACACGTGCAGAAGGTCAGTGCCCTGGATAGTTCCATGCTGGCACTAACGGTCCAGATCACTTGCATGCCTAACTTCACTCTTTTGAAGCTGAATTTAGAGTCCTGACTCCTCTCTGCACTTTCCCTGGGAGAGACCTCTTCTCTTGCCTTTCTCAGATGCCACTGAAAGGAGCCCAAGGATTACCTGACCCCAGGTGAAGGCGAGGCAGTGGAGGGTCCCGAGCATTTCGGCATAGGGACTTGGATGACCCGTAGGTGGCTCCATGATCGTCATTCTGAGCTCAGACCTTCCCTGTGGACCACAGCTCCATGGCCACCTCTCTCCATCACTTTACAGAGGCAGCCTGGAAACCCTTCCTGAAGTAAGTTCAGTCGTGGCCCTGCAGTCTTCGGTTTCTCTTGAAGTCTTGACTTTAGTATGAGATAAAGAGACTAGCTTTAAAATAAGGCCAAGCATGGCTCCCGAGTGTCCTATGTGAACCCATGCAGTGGACAAAATACAAACTTCTGTAGGGCAATCCCAGTGAGAATCATGATACAAACAGTGCTTACTACAATCATTTTTCTGAGGTTACGTGTGTGTCTGCTTTGCTAATAAAGCAAATCTGGGCTCATCACCCTTCCTGCCGATGCTCCATACCCTGAGGAATGCCACAGGAACACTTGGGAAGAGGTTGAGACGGAAAGAAGCAAAGGAGCCTGTGTGGTGAGGCTCGTGGCGTCAGGCCAGAGATTCACCTGGGGCCTCGGGGGCCCTCCCCTGCGGCTCTCCCATAGGAGTGGGCTGCAGACCACAGCCCAGAGAATCTCTGGGTCCCCACGGCCCCTCTCCAGCTCTTACACTCGGCTCATCTCTTTTGGGAAAGGGGACCTGAAGATTCCCGGCTCTGGCTCTAAGTGCCTAGAGGAGGCACCACAAGCACTTCAGCTGGTTCTCGGCCTGAACCATTAGAGACAGAGTCCCCTTGTCCCGAGCTTGTTACAAATACTGTAGGCAAATATCCGGTGACGTCCAAGGACAGGGAATGCTGCGCACTCCCTGTGCCCACCGCAGTCTTTGGGGGTCTTGGCGGAGGAGCCCAGCCTGGTACAGACACGAGGGGTTCTCGGGGCTCTCCCACCACTCCCCAAGGGGCTGCTGCTCTTTTCTGGTAGTTTCTATCTTTTACAAATATCATGGCAGTAAAAAATTAAAAATGAAGGAAAATACCCTTTAGATGGCATGCCCCCTCTTCCAAAAGTGTGCAGAGACAGTTCAGATGCAGCTGCCATCTTGCGGGGTGGCACACACTCCTCTTTCCGGATCTTTCCCTAGAGAGAGAGGAGCGAGCGGGCTTCAGCGACGGGTCCCCCTGGGCTTTTCTGTCGGGAAGAGCCTACTTGCAAAGTTGTTGGTCATGTAGCTGTGTGTGGTGGGGGCGGTGTCCAGGGCAGGATGGTAGGTTTTCTCCTCTTTTTACTTTTTTCCCTCCCCCAGCAGACCTCTCAGCTGGCTCCAAAAATGTCTCTCTCTGATTCTGGGGACTGAGGCCTGGAGATTTCAAACAGCTCCTGAGGAGACTGGGAGGCTCGGCGGGAAGTTAGTATCCTGAGTATCTCGGAGAGCTGTTTCTCAATGTTCGTCATTTTGCTGTTCAGGGCCTTGATGTCCTCCTTGAGCTCGTGCTTCACCTCCAGGACAGTGGCCTGCAGCGTCTGCTCGGGGATGGGGTAGAAGGAATGCTTGACCTCCGCCAAGATGGGGCTGCGGTCCTGGGGGCTGCGGGCCTCGCCCGCGTTGTCCAGACGCAGGTCGCTCTTGGTGATGCCGCTGTCACACGAGTCTGTCTTCTTGAGCGTGGCCTCGCCGGCCGCCTTCGTCCTCTCGGGGAGCGTCTCCATGGACTCGGCCTTGGACACCTTGCTCCAGTCCTCCGCCTTCCCACAGGCGTCCTTGAAGCGGGCCCAGCCCTTGCGCTTGGCGCAGTCGCCCCCGCCGGCCTTGGGGCCCTCGGCCTCGGGCGCCTGCAGCCGGGCCTGGTCCAGCCCCGCGGAGGCGGCGGCCGCCGGGAAGGCCACGGGCGTGGCGGGGCTCTCGCGGACGGTGACGACGCTGGCCTTCACCAGGCCGTGGTTGCTGTGCTCGGTGAGGATGCTGCCCTTCTCCACATCCAGGTCGTCCGGGTCCCGGCCTCCCCTCTCCGCGGCCAGCCTGGCCTCCTTCTGCTGTCGGAACCTCTGGAAAAGCCGCCGGACGGGGTGGTCGGGCGGCAAGATCAGGGGGGCCTCGTTCTTCCGTTTCATGCGCTCTTCCTCCTCCCGTTTCACGTCGCTGATCTTCCGGAACACGATCTGGAGGGAGACAGAATGACATGCCCTATTAACTCGGTGGTGGCTCTGAGCACAGCCTAAGCCACATATTACAGGCTACCCCGAGGAAAGCCTGCCCCAAGGACTTGCCACAGGACCCCCAGGTTTTGGGGAGGCACACGTGGTGTCATGCCAGGAGCCTGGGCTTTGGGGTCAGACAGAATGAAGTCCCAGCTCTGCCACTTAGCCGTGTGACCTCAACAGGTATCTTAACTTCTAAAAGGGGGGAAAATCCTACCTTTCTGACCTGTAAAGCCAACAGATGATGACTTACGTGCAAGCACTAGCCCGCTGTGAGTGCTTAAAATGAATCCTGTGCCCCCACCATTTCAAAACCTGTGCTTTTTTTTTTTCTTGTGTTTTTGTTTTTTACCTCTAGGTACAGATGGTCTGTAAGTCACTCTACTGCCTCGAGGAAGCCCCCACTGTCCCTCCACCTGACCCAGAGCTCTCTGATGCCACCAGTCAGATACGATCGAAAAGATGATCATTTTATACAAAGTGCCAATAAATACAGAGGAATCCAACAAACACTGAATTGCTTGACACCAGGACTCAGTCAGCACACCGTTGGCAGACTGGAGGCTCACACCTGTCACTTGACTTCATCAAAGCTCCTGGCACTGGACGACTTGACACTAACAGGTGGGTGGGAGGGACCACCTGGTTAAATCCTCAAGCCACATGCGTGGCTTTCTGACCTCCACAGGCAGCATTTCTCCATGCCCAGCTATGGTTTTTATAACCTTGCCTCTCCTGGTCCCCTTCAGCCATACCCTGTGTGCTCCTATAGATACAAGCCACGGGACTCAGGAGAATCTCGTCCACTCTGAAGAGGAACCCAACTAAAAGCATCACAAGGATGGAGGGACGATAAGTAGAAGGATCAGGACCCTTTTTGCCTGTTCCCCCAGTACCCTGAGTTGGTAGCCTTACCCTTTCGTTCTGGGAGTGGCCCCTCATCTCCACCAGGCATCCCAGTCCTCCTCACACCAAGGCGAAGCTCAAACAGCACCTCCTCCCAAAGCCTTCCCTGATTTCACTCCCATCTCCCAATCCTAACAGCCTTTGCTGTGCTCATACCACTCTTCCGCCCTAATGACTGTCTTGTGTCCATCTGTAGTTTGATGTGTGCTATTTCATGCGGTCCTTGCGGCAACTCCGGCAGGTGGGTACAGTCATTATCCTTAGTTTTCAAATGAAGAAACCAAGCTTAGAAAGGGTAGGTGGCCACCTGAGAGCACTCACTGGGGAGCTAAGACCCAGCCCTCTGGGTCCCCGTCCATGTCCATGTTCTAAGCCATTCTGCTAGGGGAAATGCCCTGGTTTTAGGGGAGAGGATGATCTTCTCTTGTATCTGTCGATAACCTCTAACCCTGCCCCACCACCCCTCCTCCACTAGTTTCTCTGACTCCCTGTCCATAACCAGCTTCTCTAAAGAATTCAGGAACAGAACCATGAAGTAGAGAGATCTGGCCAAGGGTGGGAGAGAGGCCCAGAAGTTGAGGCGTTCAGAGCATTTAAGGACAGAAGGGCTTACTAGGTACATTATAGGTACATTAGGACCTATTCAGTGTGGTCCTGTAATTCAGCAGCATGGAGGCATGACAGCATGAGATCCAGGCTTTGAGACACATGAGCCCAGTGTTTTGGTTATTGGAAAAAATCTTGCCTCCCTGGAGAGTGGTGAGGTCACCAGTTATCCTCAGGGCACAGCACGGGGTAGGAAGAGTAGGAACACAGAGGTCCTAGTGGATTCATCCACAAAGAATCTAGAGGCTAGAGGTTCTCTGCTGTCAGGTGGCCTGGTCCAGTGGCACTCAAAGTGCAGCCCCCAGGCTGGCCTTCCCACCACCGTGCAACATCTGCACTTGCTCCTGGCATTAATCAAGAATGAGCTTGCCAGTCCCCATAGTGACATCCCATGAGGACTGGCATCATCTTGCAAGGGCCCCCACGGAGAGTGGGCAGATCAGCAAGGTCTTCTTTTGACAGAGTAGCCTGGGCCTAAAAGACTCCTACAGAGGCACCTGTTCCTTTGTCTTAAGGAGGATTCAAACCCCAGAGAAATGAGGAGCCTGCCTTCTCAGTGCCACCAAGTGCAGAAGATACATCTTTTGTTTGCTGCTCAGGGAAGAGATGGCACTGTTGTGTGGGAGTCACTGACCTCTGGCATTTCACTAGGGCCAGATTTGTCACTCTCTTCCTTCTGCTCCCTCAGTGTGGTGGATTGCATTACAGACACCAAGAGACATGTCCACCTGCACTTTAAAATGTGACAGTATTTGGAATAAAGGTTTTTGCAGATGTAATAAGGTCAAGACCTTGAGATGAGATTGTACTGCATCAGAGTCGACCCTAAATCCACAAATGAGCGTCCTTATAAGAGACAGAAAAGAGAAGACACAAAACCCAGAGCAAAGGGTCATGTGAAGATGAAGGTAGACATTGGAATTATGCAGCTACAGGCCAAGAAATGCCAAGGACTGCCGACAGCAACCAGAAACAAGGAGAGTCATGGAATGAATCTTTCTCTGAGCCTCCAGAAGGAGCTGATCCTACAGACACCTTGGTTTCAGACTTCTGTCCTCCACAACTGAGAGAGAGTACACTTCTGTTGTTGTAAGGCACCCAGTTTACCATCATGTGGAATGGCAGCCTGGGGAGAGCAGGACTTGGTTTCCTTTACTGCTTCTCTCCCATCCCCTGAGCGTAGTAGCCTCCCCTTTACTCTCCGTCCTCCATGAGGTCTGCCTGCTTCAGTGCTCAGCTCACCTTCGTGCAGCTAAGAGCCAGCAGAGGAGCTGATAAGACCAGTACAAATGCCCACCCTGCTGTGACCCTGAGGAACTGTCTTGATCTGTCTAAGCCTCAGCGCCTTATCTACAAAAATTCCCCCTTCCAGCCTAGCTGCGGCGATGCAACGCAATGACATTCGTGAGCTACCTCTCCCTCCCGTCACATTCACAAAGCAATGCCGCTCTCTTCTCCAGCCCCAGCTTGCAACCTATCTTCCCACACAGAGCACGGCTATACTGATGTCTCACAGACCCCTCAGCCTGCACCCTCCCAGCCAGAAGTTTCTCTTCATACACTTCTTTCCCCAGTGTGAGCCAAGTCACCAGTCAGGCAGGAAGAAATGGCACAAAATGTGGAGCTGGGGACACCCATCTCCATCAGAGATGCTCCAGGGCTGAGACAAGTAGACCAGTGTTCAGCCTCTGACACCCCCTCAACACCACTTCCCTCCTGTCTAGGGAAGCTCTAATCATCACATTTGAAATCAAGTTAACACTGTACTGTCTCATTATTCCATAGGAGAAAGTGGAATATGCACAGAACTAGAATAAGTAGTGCTAAAATTTATATGACTGAGAATTGCCAAAGCAAGCCTGAGGAAAAAGAACAAAGCTGAAGGCTTCCAGACTTCAGACAATACTACAAAGCACGGTAATCAAAACAGCATGGTATTGGCACAAAAACAGACGTATTGATCAAAGAAACAGAATAGAGAGCCCAGAAATAAACCCACACACCTATGGTCAATTAA